ACTTGCCTCGTTTTTAACTTGCAGTGTTTCCCATGCACAAATCCTCAGGTCTTCCTAAAGCTCCTCCACATTGTCTCCGCCTCCTTTCCCAGTCATTCCCCCTCCAGCCCGGGTGCCCCGTGCCTAGGTTCTTTGCCCTCCTGAGTTGGAACTCCTTCTGGGCTTCGTTCCCTTTCTTCCTAGGCACAAGTTGCCTGCGTTTGCTAAAATCTAAACTCTGACCCCCGGTCTGACCTTGGGTTGTCTTTCTCCTCCCGGCTCTAGAGAAACCACAGACAGAATTTCAATCAAGTGTCCACCTCAGCCTGTTACATGCATCCAGCAACTCCAGACCCCTCCTTCCCGAGCATACCATACAGACAGTACCTTGACCCACATGTTACATGTCAGCTGTACCTCAGCAAAGCTGGGGGGAATTATGGGAAATTTTAGATTGAAATAGTGACAAGTGCAGTGGTTGTAGACTTCTGGCTGTGTTTGAATCCTTCCTTCACCCTTGCACCTTGAGAGGAACAAGTTCAACTGCTGTGTCTCTGTGTCATCTTAACAGGGGGTCAGGTCCGTCTGCCTCAGGATTGCCAAGAGCAACGCATGCGTGGACCCATTACATGGAGTAATGTCAGTCTGCCAAGACAGAGCCCCCAGTATCTGTTACTGTTAATACAAATTATGCTGCTCTTTCCTTCCATTTTGTAACATGGACTCTCTGGCTGTGGAAATTAGTTTTATTTCCCTCAGTAAAGCGGGTAGTTTTCTGTCTAAAAATTCCTATTTCTCATGACTTTTATTCTAATTATTTTATTGTATGTTGAACTCAATCTAGTTTATCAAATTTTTTCTAATATATTTCCTGATCCCTCTTTTAAAAAATAAGCAATTTTAATTTTGAGCTAATTGGAATCCAATAGCTTTTTTTTTTTTTAAAACTTTCTAATCATATCACCCTCAAACCATAAAAGATTTTCTAGATCTTAAAAAAGAAAAATACCCAGAGGCTTCACACACTCAGTTGGGGGATGCTGTCTTCTGGATGTGTGCTGTCTCCTTCATGCCTGTCAAAACCTAGATTTAATCCAGGGTGACCTTTTCCAGCTCTGTTGCTGGTGGTGGTTAGAAGTTAGTGGGAGTCATCAAGTGGTGCTTCCGGAATGTTCTTTGAAGGGGCTGGCTCAGCCTGAAGCTCACCCTTCTGCCTCTGCCCCTGCTCCTTCCTGGGATGTCCACCTAATGTTTGGAAGTGACCAAGAGGTGAACCCAGGACAGTATCCCGTGTCACAGCAGAAAAGCAGAAGGGGTTGCTGGCTGCAGCAGTCCTGCCCACCCTGCATACCTGATGCTGAACACTGTTTTCTGAGAGAAAAGCGAAATATAACAAAACAGAAACAGACTGGGACTTTTCTGGCAGTCCAGTGGTTAAGACTCCACACCTCCACTGCAGTGGGGCTTGGGATGCCAGGTCAGAGAACTAAGATCCCTCAAACTGCTCATTGTGCACCCCCAAAACCGAACAGAAACAGACTCACAGACACAGGGAACAAACGACTGGTCCCCACAGGGTGGGGGTGGGGGCAGGGGCAGCATCAATGAGGGGGATGAGGAGGTACAAACTACTATGTATAAAATGAGTAAGATGCAAGGAGATAATGCACAGCACAGGGGATATAATCAGTATGTTATAATAACTTTGTATGGTATGCAGTTTATAAAAATATCGAATCACTATGTTTTACACCTGAAACTAATATAGTTAAAGTCAACCATACATCACTTAAAGACAATTAAAAGCCCTCTGGGATTAAGCCACAGGTTGGCCTCTGTCACTGGCTGCCTAATCAGTTTCTAATGGCATCACTGACTCGATGGACATGAGTTTGAGTAAGTTCCCGGAGTTGGTGATGGACAGGGAAGCCTGACGTGCTGCAGTCCCTGGGGTCGCAAAGAGTTGGACTGAACTGAATAGATTCATGAGAGACTTCAACGATTCACTGAAAAGACTGTGTTCCCTAAAGGATGATTCTGAAGAGTTGCAGTTAACTATGAAGTGATGTACGTTCACACAAGAATGTGTCTGGGACCTAATTCGTCACCACTCGGGTTCACTCCCTGTTTGTTGTTTATTTATTTTTAATGAAGTATGTTAATTTACATGCTGTATGGCTAAGTGATTCAGTTATACATATATACATATTTATATTTTTATTTATATGTAATATATAAATATATATAAATTCTTTATGTGTGTGTGTGTGTGTGTGCATGCTAAGTCGCTTCAGTCATGTCTGACTCTTTGCAGCCCTATGGACTGTAGCTTGCCAGGCTCCTCTGTCCCTGGGATTCTCCAGGCAAGAATACTGGAGTGGGTTACATATATATATATGTAAATTCTTTATTATTCTTTTTTTAAATCTTTTCCATTTTGGCCTATCATAGGATATTAAATATAGTTCTCTGTGCTATATACAATAGGATCAAGCCATATTTGAAAGTAGAAAAGGAATAGCTGCATTTTCTTGAAAAAAATGTTTATGATTCTGCTGTCATCTCTTGTGTGCTGTTAGTCTCACCTAAAGGCTCACGTTTACTCAGCTGTTTCTGCTTCTGTTTCCTGTTCCCTGAAATTTTTCGGTTCTTCCTAAAGCTCTCTACTCCCCCGAATGTTTATACTCAACCTACTCTGGTCTGCTCCAGGATCTGCTCACTGCTTGTAGAGGAAATTACATGCCCACCTCCCCAGACCAGACAGATGGAAACTAGTGTCTTACTTTATTTCTCTTTCCTTGAGTGCTGTCCACCCGAGTCGCTTCCTACTTGTTCTCCTTGGCATTGTGCTTAACCTCTGAATAGTCTCATCCTGTGGGTTTTGGGCTTTTTTTGGTGCTTTCATTTTTCTGTGAGTCTGTACTGAACTTCTAGAAGTTTCTCTCGAAATTATGGGATGTGTGTTTTCTAATGACTTTAATGGGGTTTTTGGAGAGGAGAGAAGTAGATGCATGTGCCTTCACTTGGGATCTTCTGTATTCTTCTGGCAATGAGTTGAGCTTTTCTTTGTGGTGTAAAATGTAGATTGGCTTTTGCATTGTGATCCTACAGTTAGTTTTCAGAGGTAAAGTTTGATCTGTGTTAGATCAGCTTTATTCTATTCCTCAGATGCTCTGTATTTTTCCCTTTTGGTTTGTGTGATGAAAAATGAGAAAAACCAAGTGAGGTCATTTGTTTTAGAATACTGTTGGTATTTCTGATAACTTTTTATTCATGCATGAACATAGGGGTATTATTTTTAATGTTCTTTTTTCTGAGCAGCATATGAGGAAGCACTTGACCTTTTTTCTTGTCTATCTTTAGTCTTTAGCTTACCAGGCTGTGCTTGTGCAAACTAGAATGAAGCAGTCTGTGAGTGATATATTGTTCCTACTGAATGAGAACAGTCAGTACTAAGGAAAAATATCCACTGGGAGAGCATGTCGATTATAGGCTAATAATCAGAGATCTTAATAAGATATTGATTCTTTGAAAATAGGACATATTGACTTGGCTTTATCTATAAAACTACCCAAGTTTGTGGTCAGTACTAAGTCACTTTACTTTTATAAAAATGTTTAATAAAATGTACATAACAGTAACCATTTTAACCATTTTTCAGTATACAGCTCGGTGTCATGAAGTTGTGTGTTCACAGTATTATGCAACCATCACCGTCGTCCATTTCCAAAACTTTTCCTTCATCCCAAACGGAAATTCTACCCATTAAATAGCAGCTCCTCTTTCCCCCATCTCAGCCCCTGGGAACCTCTGCTCTACCTTCCGTCTCTGAATTTGCCTATTGTAGATTCCACATTTAGTGGAATCATGTAATATTTATCCTTTTGGTTCTGGCTTATATTTCACATGTTTTCAAGGTTAGGATTAGGGCTTCAAAGTTGACAAGTATCAGGGGGACTTCCCTGGTGATTCAGTGGCTAAGATTCTGAGCTCCCAATGCAGGGGGCGTGGGTTGAAACCCTGGTCAGGGAACTAGATCCCACATGCTGCAATGAAGATCAAAGATTGAGTGTGCCATGACCAAGACCTGTCACAGCCAAATAAATATTTTTTAAAGGTTAATAAGTATCAGAAATGATGACCAAATAATGTTCCATTATAAGGATATACCACATTTTATTTGTTTTTTCATCTGCTGATGGACACTTGGGTGGCTTGCAGCTTCTGACTATTGTGAATAAGACTGCTGTGGGGCTTCCCCGGTGACTCATGGGTAAAGAATCCACCTCCCAATGCTGGAGAGGTGAACTCAATCCCTGGTCTAGGAGGATCCCACATGCCACAGGGCAGCTGAGCCCTTGCTGCTCTAGGGCCAGGGAGCCACAACCCCTGAGCCCACGTGCCACACGCTCGAGCCCGTGCTCCCCAAGAGAAGCCACCGCAGTGAGGAACCTGAGCACCGCAGCTAGAGAAAGCCCAGGCGGCAGCGAAGGCCCAGCACAGCCAAATAAATTAAAACCAAGAAGACTACTGTGAATGTGGGCAGACCAGTGTTTCTGTTTGAGCCTCTGCCTTCAGTTCTTTTGCGTATACACCTAGGGGTAGCGTTGCTGGGTTTTATAGTAATTCTGTGTTAACTTTGTGTTTAACCTGACTCTGCGTGGTGCTGTAATCTTTGGCACAGGCCCAGCCAGGCTGCCCTCCTACTGCTGGATAGACTGGATTGCGACTGTGACTCGCTCAGCTGTGTCCCGCTCACTCAGGACTGGCTGCCCTCCAGGGAGCACAGGTGGAAAAGATACCTGCAGAGTATCAGGAAGCTGACCTGCCGCTGGTTTAATGGCCTGCGCACTCCCAGTCTGAAGGCAGTAAGGAGGTCACTTCCTGGCCGGTCAGACATGTTGGTGAACTTGGGATCTCAAGAAAGATGATACCCCCTTTAGTTAAAGGTTACGCCTGTGAAACCTGGTAGAGGCTAGTTGTGATAGCCCTTGGTTCCTGAACTCAAAGTGGAGGAACTGATGAGAACCTTAGATAATACTTCTGGCTTTATGGAAATTGTAGAAACTATGGCTGTGGGGGCTTTAGTAAGCCCCATACTCAGTGCCAGGGTGGAGTTTTGTCAGCTTCCTAAGGAGGCTCTAAGTATTAAAGCACAGCTCTTACCCTGTAGGGAAGCACGCCAAATAGCCCTGCACATCAAGGTAATTATACACATTCAAAACATGGTGAAGGTTCCCACCTCACTGGTAAAATTCTTGGTTCCCTGGTGTGGTGTCAGGATGAACAGGTTGGCTTTTCCAAGGAACAGTGGTGTTGGTGATCAAGTTGTAATAGTCTAAGGTACTTGCATGTGTATTGTGATTTTGTATCACAATATCTTATTGAGCAAATACTATTCAGTCTGAGCCTTTGCCTCGACAGGCACACAGTTGGTCCAAGGACAGACAGAAACCAAGCAACCCTCCATGCCAGATGCCCAGGGGTACCTCCATCCTCTTGGCCACTTTGAACCTCAGTGACCTACCGAGGTTACTGGGTCCCCGAAACCCCCTTGTATTTGTTGACTTCCTTGCCTCTTGCTCTCATTTCCTTGGCCTCCATTTCTGTTTATTTGGATTGTTTATCAAAATAACCTAGTCGCACACAAGCCCTGGTGACAGCCACAGCTTTCAAGGAGGGGAATGACCTAGCCTAGAAACCAATCTAGTCCAACCTAAACACTGACACCTAATACTTGTTCCCATCCCTGCCAAGTGCAGAATGTGGCCAAAAGGGAACCCGAGGAAGGCCCTGACCACAGTAAGTGTTGGACTCTGTCTTTGTTTGGTTCCTTGCTCTGGGTTGGCTTTGCCACCATCAGCAGAGGACTGGCAACAAATGGGCACAGCTCCCAGAAAAAACAAAATGTCGTAGACTGGATAAACCAACACAGTCTTTTGGAAAACCACAAGTTCACAGATTAGTAACCAGCCCAACCCAGCCAGTCCTGAATGGACCACCCACAGGCTTCACTAAATGGACCGTTCAGTCTTGTGTAGATGGTGGTTTTTGATCTTTGGGCCTTTGTAAGCGTTGCCCTTGTGCTTTGTTCAGGAGAAAGTCTTAAGAGAGGCTGTTCCCTCTGGCGTGAAAAACAGCAGTGCTTTGGTCCCCACCCTCCCAGGGAACAACTTTTTAAACTCTTCTAGTTGTTTCTTCCAACCCAGGAGAATAGCAGTGGGCGGACACAGGCCCACAGAGAGGCAGAGGCTTAAGAAGCACCTGCCCCGGGTGAGAGCAGAATGACACAGGACTCGGGGTGGGAGTAGATCTTGGGGGTGGCAGCATCATATCCTGGGGACAGAATTTCTGAGAAGAGATGTATTAGGTTAAGAAAAGTGCACACGAAATATATTGGGCTTTAGGGTTTATTAAGGTGTACGTATGTGATAAGATGGGCTTGGAAACAGTCTGTGATATGCCTGAGAAACAGAATCAATGAATTCATGAGCACCGAGCTTGGTTTCTGTGCTAGTTTTCTATTGCTGCTCTAACAAACGCCTGCAATTGTAGTGACTTAAACAACACAGGTTTATTTCCTACAGTTCCGTTGGTCAGAAGCTCAAGGTGAACCTCAACCAATTGAAATCGAGGTGTCATCAAGGCCCTGATTCTTTTTGGAGGTTCTAAAAGAGAATGGTGTGCTTGCTTATTCAGGTTGTTGCCAGGATTCACTTCCTTGCAGACATAGGGCTGAGTCCCTGCTTTCTTGCTGGCTGTCAGTTTAGGGCCATCCCCTGCTTCTGCTTCCGGAGGCCAGCCACATTCCTTGGGTCATGACCTGCTTTCTCCATCTTCAAAGCCCTTGACAGTGGACCAGTCCCTCTACACTTTGAATCTCTTCCATCATTGCATCTCTCCATCTTCTGCTGCTGCCTTTGAGAGCCCATGTCATTACATTGGGCCAACATGGAAAATCCAGGATAATCATCCTGTTTTAAAGTCAGCTGATCTGCCACTCTTAATTCCCCTTTTGTGATGTAGCATTAAGATATTCACATGTGTGATGCCAAGGGTTAGGATATGGGCATCCTTGGGGGCCATCGTTCTTTCTACCATGGTCCCTAAGCTGAGAACTGGGTAAAGCAGACAGAATGGACTGCTAAGGATTTATATTCAACATCTGCTGGGAGGGCAGGAGCCTGAAACACAGAGCAGCTACCCTAAGCAGAGGGTTCCCCTGGTCTGAGCTGCACAAATATCAGGGCTTTTCCTACTGTTTGGATTTTTTTTTCCACCATAGACTAGTCTTGCCTCCTTTAGAACTTCTTCTCAGTGGAGTCATCCAGTATAATTTTTTGTGTTTTCACTCAGAATAATGTTCTTGAGATCCGTCTCAGTTGTGGTGTGTCTTAGCAGCAACATGTCACAGACTGGGAGATGGTATTCACACGTACCTGTCAAAGAACTTGATCTAGGATTTCCCTAGTCATCCAGTGGTTAAGAATCTGCCTGCCAATGCAGGGGACGTGAGTGATCCCTGGTTCGGGAAGATTCCACATGCTGCAGGGCAACTAGGCTGTGCACCCCAACTACTGAAGCTTACATGCTTTAGGGCCTGAGTGCTGCAACTACTGAAGCCTGAGTGCCTACAACCAGTGCTCTGCAACAAGAGAAGCCACCACAATGGGAAGCCCCTTTCGCCCCCACTAGAGAAAGCCCATGCACAGCAACGAAGACCCAGAGCAGCCAAAAATAATAAATAAATTAAATAAAAAAAGAACTTGATCTAGAGCATATAAAGAACTCATAACACTCAGTGATAATAGTGTTTTTTCTTATGTAAATGAATCTATGTGCATTGTTTATTGCTAGCTTTGTATACTTAATGATAGATTATGGGTGTTGTAGGCTGATTAATGGCTTCCCCAAAGATGTCCACATCCTAATACCTAAAACCTGTGGATATGTTACTTTAGAGGGATTTGGCAGTTGTGATTAAATAAAGGATCTTTGGATGGGAAGACTGTCCTGGTTACTTAGTTGGTCCCAACGTAATCACAGTGACCTTAGAAGAAGGAGACAAGAAGGTCAGAGTCGGAGGAAAACAGATTTTTGAGGATGTTACATTCTTGGCTTTGAAGATGGAGGAACAGGTTACAAGTCAAAGAACACAGGTGGGTTTGGAAGGTGGAAATGGCATGGAAATAATGATCCTCTAGTCTTTAGGGGGATCCCAGCCCTGCTGTCCCCTTGATGTTAGCCCAATGAGACTTCTGATCTACCTGACTATAAGATAATAAGTTTATGTTGTTTTAAGCCAATAAAACTCCACACAAAAGGCAGTAATAAGACAATTGATCCAATATTACAAGTGCAAAAGAGTTGAAAATACACTTCACAAAAGAAGACATACATATGGCCAGTAAGCACATGAAAAATACTCAGTTTCATTGGCCCTGCCTGCTTCTCTGGACCTTTCTCTCCTAGGAAAAATACTTAATCTTCTGGGTTTCCTTTCACTTTATTTAGGGTGTCCTTCACAAGTTTTACATTTTTAAAAAATAAAACTTTAATTTTAGAAGAGTTTTACAGGAAAATTACAAAGATAGTACAAAGAATTCTTATATACTCTACACCCAGGTTCCCATGTTATTAACATCTTATATTGATATGGCACAGTTGTTACAATTAATGAACCAATACAGGTACTTTATTCAGATTTCTTCAGTTTTTACCTAATGTTCTGCTTCTGTGACAGGACCCCATCCAGGGCAAAACGTCACGTTTAGTCATCGTGTCTCCTTAGGCTCCTCTGGGTGGACAATTTCTCAGACTTTCCTTATTCTTGATGACCTTGACAGTTTTGAGGAGTACAGGTTAGGAGTTTTTTTTTAGGATGTTCTTTAGTTTATCTGGTGTGTTTTTCTTTTTTTATTTTTAATTGATGTGTCTCTCTTAATTAAACTGGAGTTATGTCCACACCATGCACATCCTCCATTTAAGGACTGTGGAGTTATGCTGACTCCTTGAGTGCAGAGAAGTCATATACTTTATATAGAATTCTTTTGCATGGGTGACTTGTCTCTTCTCATTTATTTAGTCAGTCATTTATCTATGTCAGTATAGACTCAGTGACTTTTTTTTTTCATTTATTTTTATACACTGTGACAACTTTATTTTGTTGCTCAAATTGTTCCAGCCTGGCTCTGAGTTGGTCCTGGGTTCCTCTGACATTTTCCTGTCACTATGCCTGTGTGTGTGTGTGTGTGTGTGTGTTTGTAACACTTCTTTACTTTCTGGCACTATAAGATGTTTCAGTCTCATCTTATATAATTCCTACCTGGTCCTAGAATCAGCCATTTCTCCAAGGAGCCCTGGTTCCTTTCATTGGAGAATGGTATTTGAAATCAAGTACTGATGTACTCAAAGTTTTTAATTTTTATGAAGTTCAATGTATCTGTGTTGTGTATGTGTGTGTGTGTTTGATGTCAGATCTAAAGAGGCTTCGCCTGACCCAGGGTCACAAAGGTATACTTTTACACTTTAAGAGTTTTATAGTGTTAGCTCATTCATCTAGGCCCACAATCCATTTTGAGTTCATTTTTGTGCATGGTATATGAAAGAGGTCCAACTTCATTGTTTTCTATGTAGGTATCCAGTCGTCCTGGCGCCATTTGTTGAAAAGACTTCTTTCCCATTGAATTGTCTTGGCACCCTTGTCAAAAATCAATGGATGTTTCTTTTAAAAAAAATTTATTTATTTTTGATTGCACTGGGTCTTCATTGCTATGCATGGGCTTCTCATTGCGGTGGCTTCTCTTGTTGTGGAGCACAGGCTCTAGGGCATGCGGTCTTCAGTAGTTGCGGCTCGCGGGCTCTCGAGCACAGGCTCAATAGTTGTGGCTCATGGGCTTAGTTGCTCCATGGTATGTGGGATCGTCCCGAACCAGGGATTGAACCCATGCCCCTTGAATTGGCCAGTGGTCTCTTAACTGCTGGATGGGAAGTCCCTCAATTGATGATATTTCTTCAATTCTTGAATGTATACTTGTAAAAGACATACCTGGCAACTGAAGGAATGCTGATGTTGGTTCCCTACCCCTTGTAGTGAAAGCTCCAGAAGCTGCTCCTCTGTTCCAAAATAGGAACCTGGAAACAAGACTGCCTCCCAAGGGGAGTTGCAGAGCTTAATGCCACATCCCCACTTAACTCAGCTGTTGGCTGCTGGTGACTCAAATTGCAGCAGCTGTCCCAGCCATCACTGGAGCCTGTCACTGGAGCAATTCAGCACATCTCCTGACAGTTGGTAGCTGTTGATCTAGCTAATGCCTTTTTCTCTATATCGATTTGTAAGGCT